CTGCTCTCAAGCATTTCCTTTAATCTGTGATTTTCAAAAATAAAACGTGACATGGTGCCTGCTTAGAGAATATTTATTACTGGAACATGTAGTCATCTGATCAGTTACTCTATCTTATACTAAGTTTTATACATGTTTTTCTGGTGTAAAGCCTGACTAGGTGCATCTGCTATCAGTAATTTAATTTAGTTAAGTTCTTTGTGGAATCAGATAGCTGAAAAAGCCAGAACTTATTTCCAAAGAACACGTACTTCTCAACGACACTTTCAAAGTGTGTGCACTTAGCGGGGTTTGTTATATGTACTTTTTGTTGGAGCAGATAAAAGGAATGGGACCTTAAATTAGAATAAATCTTTTAGATTAAGAACCAAGTTTAGGTCTTACTAAACACAGTTGGCTTTCAAGAAAAGAACTGCAGCAAAACACCCTTGATGACTTTCGCAGTATCTTTCTCCATCTGAAGCAATTTATAAACCCGAATTTTCTGATTAGTCACTTGGTTCAAGCAAGGTAATGTTAGTGTAATGCTTTCGATGTGTCTGAAGTATTATGTCACATGAAATTCTTTATTACTTCATATTTTACCCTGCAGCACCTTGGATATTTCTGATTGAATTAAATACTTTAAATACTCTAGGGCTTAAAGACCTAAAATAGACACTGTTAGGTTTGCGCCTTGGTTATTTAAGAAGGATTTTCATCCTTACCAGGAGGAGAGAAAATTTTAGTGAATGAAAGTGGAAATCTTTGGCTTTCTTTGCTTAAGAGAAAATGTTGCACACAGCTATTGATTGTCTTCACATTTCGGTTGCTCAAACTAGAAAGCATGAATGGAAAATGACTAAATATGCTTTCCTTAATTTGTCAGTGTTTCTTCCATCGAGGTATTTAGTGGAGAGATTGATTTAGAAAATGCAGTTTCTTTATTTCGTAAGTCCTGTGTGCATTGATTTGCATTGTGGCAAAGGGCATGTGAGATACTATTCGTGCTTCTCCAAGCACATATGACTCGAATGCATACAGCGCAGAACAAATGAAAATGGGAGCAAGAAACGACATTCTCTGTCTAGAATTTTGTAGCCCTACCAAGATGATAAGAAAAGGGTTTAAGAAATTATATTTCAAATTTTTGCTTTGGAAAGAAGCCCTTTCCATCACCCCTCCAAAGAAGTGATACTTTTAGGAAAGCCTTACCAACCTTCCCAAAATACCCAATGCCTTGGTGAGCCCAGGAGGCACTTTCTTTCAGAAGCTGCTTAGACAATTTGGTTGTCTTATTGCTGCTGTTTGGAAAGGCAAAGTCAGTCCTTTAACTGCCTTAACTATTGTCTCTTTCAGACCCTGAGGAGTAACATTTATCATGCTGAGATTCGGGCAGCACCTCATCAAGCCCTCCATGGTGTTCCTGAAGACTGAGCTCTCCTTTGCTCTTGTGAACCGGAAGCCGGTGGTCCCAGGGCGTATCCTTTTGAGCAGCGCCTGAATGATGGGCACCCATGCTCTTGGGAAAAGCAGGAGGAGCCCGGTGCGCTTCAAAGGCCAGGTAGGATGCTATGTGGGTTTATTCTGAAACCAGGCAGTGGAACGTGATGTGCTTGATCGGTGTTGCAGAACTGCCGAAAACAGTTGCTTAGCAACTGTGACCTTAGAGGTGAATTTCTGTTGACCTTTTCACCACAGAAGATGTATAAACAACCAGGTGCTACTAAAAGCATTTAAAAGTGTATCTGAGGGGGTACTGTTTAAATTTCATATTATGCTAAATAACACATCCTGCTTCCCTTTTAATAATGTCACTTATTTTTAGATGTGGTAACTTCTTTATGGAGGCTTTTCAACTTCTTCTAGCTAAATGTACACAATTTGTCAAATGGCAGCAGAATCCTGTATGAAGACTGTTTTTTTTTGGGACAGATTGCTTTGATTAATTTAGGTAGGAATGTATTAAATAAACCATCTGTATAGTGCACACGTTTCCTGAGGAAAAAAATCAAGCCCCGTGTTGTAAGAAAAATCCTCAGTTTAGAAACTGCATAGGAACTTGATTCTGCAAGATGCTAAATGTACCTATTTAGTGTATTTTGTAGTGTGGCATATTATTTTCTAGTCAAAACTCTACTGCTGTGTAACTTGTGCTGATTTAAGTGGCTGGAGGTGGAACTTTTCAGAAATACTCAAGACTGATCGCTTCATTTCCATAGAGGTCCATGCTAAAATTTTAGTAGGAACTCAGTTAGGCCATGGCTGAATGTGTTTTGGGTAAAGAAGAAAGTCATCTGGCGTTTATCGAAAGCTTTCTTGTTCTTCTGTAGGTTTATGTTGTTTCTTTCATAATTTAATGTATAATTTAAAATTTAATAAACTTTAATATATTTTTTTTAAACCCATAAATGTGTTTCTTCTGAAATATGGAACCTTCCTCTCCTCCTGTCACTTCTGTAGATCGTAATTGTTGAATATAGAACTTCTCTCTACACCTGCTGGCGTCAGAATGGCGTCTGTTTATACCAGAAGTCAGATCATTTGGTTATAAATGCATGGCAAAGATGCATGGGCTTTATAGAAACTTTAAAGGTGTTACTATCTCACCAATATATTTTAATTAATTAAATGAACAGTTCTTCTCAGCTTTAAGTTTCTGAAGTATCTGATGTAAATCGATGTGATTTACAGATTTGTCATTAAAAAAAATATTTTCCAAGCTATCTAAAGACGGTATCACATCAGTCACTGTGAGATGCAGAGCCTGTAAACGCCTGAGCAGTATGTTGGTATATGCATTGTCCGGATCAGAGAATAAGTGAAATGTTATCTGTACTGTGTGTGGAAGTTTTAAAAACAATAGTTAATGATTTTTTTAAATTAATATGTTAAGTGAACAATTGCATCTGTTGTTAAAAATGAAGAAGAATTATTTCAGATGAAAGATACTTGTTCTTAAGTTTTGTGAGCACCTAGTAATGACAATTTAAGCAGCCTATAAAACTTAATTATTACAAGCTTCTTTTCTTCTTAAATAATTAAAGATTATAAACTCTAGTTGTATAGTTATTGCTGACTGTTTGGCAGATACATTTATTTGCTCAGGTTTAGCTTTGTTATCCCATAATGAGTATTGCAGCATATTTTATAGTGTCACATTGTTTTAATAGCTCATGTGTTGTAATATATAATGTAGTCTTTGTTTCTCCATTGAATAATGTTCAGGTAATAAAAACCTAACCCTTTCCCTTTCTCATTACAATAAAAAAAATTAGCAAAGATCTTGATGCAAAGGCTAGAATACGGTATGTAAAATAGAGCAATTTGCAGTTGTAAGCCTTTAAAATGTCTGTATAATGCAGCATTCATCTCGAGACCTGGCAGTAACAAGTGTATTTTCTTCGTTTTATTGCAATAATTTTATCTGCCTTGTCTTTGGCACACTTGTGACATTCCTTTTCATTTTTTTTTTCAGCAGAAAATAAAATATTAATGTGTGTGAATTAGAGAGACAAAGGAAATCAGTTTGAAAGCCGGCTCACTCCAGGTGGTGGCTTTAATTAACTAGTAAGGTTGAAAATCCATCTTGAAACAGAACGTAGGATTGGAGTTGTGAATTTGCTGTAATAGTTTTAAAATAAAGCTATACTCTGGAAAAAATTCAGTCAAAATGGTCTCATGGAGTTCAGTGTTCATAATTAGAGCAATGCCAAAGCATGCTTGCTCAGTTAAGACATTATAAAGTTTTGTGTTTTTTATTTCCAGCTGCCAATCCTGTGAATTCAGTTTGACACTTGAAAGTCAAACTGTGCTAATAGTAACCAAGAATAGGAATAGCAAGAACATAGTATTCGTGGTAAGGAAAGAGTTCCCCTGTTCCTGGAGAAAGCTGCCTCAATTGCCCCAGCCTTAGACTTCTGTCTAACGGGTGCACGCTAGTTCATGGACTCAGGAACCTGTTCATAATGGGATCCCTTTGAGTGAAGATATGACTGCTGCAGATCCTTGAATAGGAAGCAACTGGGATCTTACTATTGAGTAAGGGATATCTGGCATTCAGCTGGATCTCTACTGTGTAAACTAAAATATGAGCATGTATTTGACGGTATTAACAAACTCATTCACCTCTTTTGGCACAACCAAATGGAGGGCGAGAGCTACACGTGGTCAGTGTGCAGGACTGGAGCATGTTCCCCTCAGGGCAGCCAGGCCCTTTGCTGTCAGCTGATATGCAAATGGTTAAGGCTCAGAGGTGTCTGACCATAGTCTGTGTGAAGACATCAAGTCACTCAACTCCCATGACAAAATGAGGAGTACATACCTGCTCTGTTCTTGCATATAGTTCACAGGGGAAGATGGGGCTTCCCTACCCCTTCTACTTGTCTGTCTTGTTTCAGAGCAGCCAGGCATATGGCATTGGGGACAGTCTTGATTAACATGATATTGTTTTTTGGGGTGTGTCTTTATGTTGGTTTTCTGTTTTGTACGGAAATGGTATGATTTTTTTTTTTTGCTAATGCATGAGAATTGTTATGGAGCCAAGAGTGGGAATCCTGTATGCGGTGCACATCTTAGCAGTTAGCTTGGGAGTGTGAAGGAGGTGTTATTGTGTAAGCTTGCTGGGACTTGTACGCTTATACGGGTACCAATACCATTTTCTATGAAAAGTAGAGTCCCTGTTTCCTCTAAGTTCTGCTGGCTTGCTGCTCTGCAAAGAGTGACTGTGAAAAGTCATTTGTGGCTCCCTTGAACAACTACATAGTTGTTTTAGAGGAGGTAGCTATTCAACAGCTGGACTAGTGCAGGGATGTGTCTGTAGTCAGCAAACGTGTTGTTTCTGTCACACAAAGGGCACAAGACGAACTGAATCGGCTCACGCAACCAGCATGAGCTAAGCTTCTACTTGTCTTCTTACTTCAATTATTTCATTCAGAGCCTTGCTGTTTCTATAGTTCAGAGCAGAACTGCAGTGTCTTTTTAAAGAAAATCCATCTGCTCTTTGACAGGGACTTTTTACTCTTTAATACGGTAACAAATACTTTGTGAATGACATACTATTTTATTGATGCTTTCCTAGCCATATGCCATAGCTTTACATGGTTTTGCTCACATCTTCAATAAATATGAACTGTTTTTTCTTTTATCACTGCCTTTCTCATTGCATTGTGCAGTGTACTTGCTTTCATCTTGTCTTAAACATGAAAAATGAATTTGAACATTAGTAGAATCCATTTGGGGACTAGGACTTTTATTATAAATAAAATTATTCATTTGTTATGTCCAATTTTTTTTCAGTAGACAAGGTATTGATCTTTGGATTTGTGTTCAGGATGCCATAAGAAGAACCCACACAAAAGGAACACAGCAACATTTGTAAATTGATTGAATGCAATATGTAATGACAGAGACAAACATCAGATCTATGGCAATACTGTATTATACAAAGCATTTTTCAAGAGTTTATTGAATTGGTTATTAAAAAGAACAGGCTTTCCAGCTGGGAACAATGAGCTGAGGGTTATCAGGACCAAGCAATTTTATAGAAATTTGTGGTGGACACTGTGGCTCCTTCAGTAAGTGCACATTGTATGTGTGCGTGCAATAAATTAGAATAAACACTTTACAATAACTTTTCATCTGGGTTTGATTATGAAAAGGTTTTTCTGTTAAAAAAAAAAAAAAGAAAAAAAAAGACACTGTTTAACTGTTATATACTGAATTTTGCTGGACTATTTGATATTGCCATTTCCATAGAGAACTAGTGTTTTCCACCAGAAGGTATTCTGACTGTGGGGAATAGACTGTGTATAAAAACCCAGAGCATGTGATGTTTTCCAGGAACTTCATCACTATATGAAGTTAATGGTCATTATTTGTCGCTGAGACAGTGTGCTGTACTGTGAGTTACCGCAGCTTGTTCCTATTATTAATGAGTAGAGAAAACATTAGTTGAACCAGGTGCTCCATCAAAGACTTGATAACACCCTAAGCTGCAGTGTAATTGTTCTGGGTCTGTTGCATGGGTGGGATGGGATCCAGGGTCATGTCATGTAAGAACAGCATCCCCTTTGCTGTAAGATTTGTCTGTTTGTGAGCTTCCCTGTCATATGCTGTCAGAATTGCCATATTACTTGAGACTGACACATTCTGTATTGTCACAAATGATTGCTGCTTTTCTTAAAAGATTTGCAGTTAGAAAGAAACAATCCTGTTGACTAGTATTATTTGTTAATATATTTTAAAAGTAATTTTTAATTTAGTTAGAGTCCTGACAGAATTTCCATTGAAGATAGCACACTGGCTCTGGAAAGAACAGAAGTATTCTCTCACAAGTTTGGTTGAAAACCATGGTGTTTAGCATGTATATGAAATTTTAATTCTTCATAAAGTTACAGCGCTGCTGTTTACTGTGATTTAGTTTGTACATAGCACATTTATCACATCTGTATTTGTGCTGCATAATTACGAATTTTATGGG